GGGACCAGGGAGCTGAGATCAGCTTTTGTTCTTTTCTTTCTAGGTCACTTACTAGTGTCACTTAAACCATTGCCCCTTTAGATGAAATCAGAGGGGAAGGAGAGGAGGGAAGTACAGGAAGCAGAGGGCAAGAACACACAGATATAATTTCACATGGGTTGAGGAACCATGACTTTATCACAGGTTTGTAGTTGGGCCACAAGCTTGGCATATAGATACAGGATGGGCTACTGAACTGTAGGCATTCTACCAAACGCTATTTGTGATATAAAAATGACAAGTTAAACAGAATCACAAGGGGATTGGAGAACAAAGGAGGGAGAGGCTGGCAACCCAAATGTACTGGAAATATTGGAGATGGAATGGGCTGTGTAGATCTGACTGCTTCTGTTTTGATTGTACTACTTGTGCATCTTGTTCTACCCTCACTGTTCAAAATATTTTCAATACTTATCCCTTAAGGAACTGTCAGTCCCATACACAGACCACCAGTTCAGTAGAAAATCCCCTTTAAGTTGAACTGAGCTATTTCTAAGATTAGTTGTGTGTTGCAAACTACCCAGTTGGGGGCAGACAAAACAAACAGATGACTTCTAAATGCTAGCAAAGGAATGCAACATTTCTTTGTGTGTTGTTATTTTAATAAAGCAAAAGGCTTTTCAACTCATTATCAGATTCAGACAGCTTCCTCACAGCCTCCACAGATTGACTACTGCAACAGGGTCCCTTTCCAATCACCGTATCTTTAACTCTGAGGATGGAGCTTGGGTGTGGGTTGGGGGCATACATGTATTTTTCTGGGCATTGTGAAATGCTGTGCCAAACATACTGAGAAATTTATAGAGCCACTGACACTCTACCAAAACAAGCCCTCCTAATAACATCAGATTGTGGGGCAGAGCATTTAGCAAGAGATCATTTTAATCCCCACTTCTCCCCTTGTAAGAGAGTTTATAGCGCCTATTTGAGGAGGTAAACTCAAGACAGACATGCTCCTGTTATTTTGTTTGCTTCTGCCAGAGAACTCAGAAAGGACGGCTCCATCTCAGACTTTAATGCTTCAGTTTTCCAAAAAGAGGAGAAACATCGTGGTCCAGCCTCATGGTCCCAACACCCAGAGGAGCCCTGCCCAACTGCCAAGTTACTCAAGTCTATAGGTCTTGTTGACTTTTCTTATTATCCTTCCTTTTATTTTTGAATTAGCTATGAGTTCAAAAAACAAAGTGCCATATCTGGATGCTCAGAAAAAACTTTCTTTGTCCATTTCTTCCTTCCCTGGAAGATTAGTGCCATAGAGTCCCTCCCTGGTAAGGTGAAAGGGAATGGGTTAGAGCCCAAGATAGACGCCATGGCAGCAGGACCTTGATAAATCTCCTATTCATAAATGTGTGTAAAGTTGCTGCAGTAGCTTCTTTTTAAATTTTTAATTTTTAAAAATTAAAACTTTATTAATATATATTAATTGCACAAGGGATGTTGCTATGATTAATTTCAGACATGCATATAATGTATTTTCATCAAATTCATCCTGTTACTCTTTCTTATCCTCTCCTCCCTCTTTTAAAACAATCTTTTACAGATTGCATTATTCTATTTTTATGCATGTGTACAAAGCACCTTGATCATACTCACCCCACCTTCGTGCTCTCCTTTTGCCTTTCCCCTTCTCCCCTGGTTCCCAGCCCAGTTACCCCTGTTTTACACTCATGTCACTCATTTTTTTAAATGTCTAGACTCCGTATATGAGAGAGAACATGCAGTGTGTCTTTCTTAGTCTGGCTTATTTTGCTTAACATGACGGTTTCAAGTTCTACCCATTTTCCTGCAGACAACATAATTTCATTCTTTTTTTTACAGTGAATGATACTCCATTGTGTGTATACATATTTATACCCATTTATCAGCTGATGGGCACCTAGGCTGATTCCATAGTTTGGTTATCGTGAATAGCGCTGCTGTAAACATGGGTATGCAGGTGTCTCTATTGCATGCTGACTTACATTCTTTGAATATATGCCCAGAAAGTATACATATTGACAGTAATTTCAAAATGGGACTGGGTTTTTGTGTTTATTTTGAAAAAGCTCCACATGTGATTCTGTTACAAATTCACATACCACTTCCTCATGAAGCCTCTACTAGAACTCTCCTGGGCAGAGGCCTGTCTTTCTGCATAGGCTGCCTCTGTACTCTGAATATTTCTTTTGCTTTAGCACTCATACAACACTTTTAGAATTATTTGTATTTAAGGGTATTTCCCGTTAGACTGAGCTGGGAATCAGAGATTGTTTCTTGGTATTTTCACTGCCCAGTGTATAGTCTAGCACTAATGGGTGTTTAATAAATTAATATTGAGGTGAATAAACAAACACAGACATATAAAATTCACTTCACTCAAGTATGGAAGGGGTTTCCACTAGTTAAAGGTCAATACCCTGTAGGAACTGAAGTTAACTCCTCACATGGTTCAGGCCAAGAGTGACAGCACTGGAGAACAATGGACAACACACAGGCACAAGCTAACGAGGGTCTTGATGTAAACCTAAATCTGCCTTCCCAGATACAGACGAAAACATCTCCCCATAGCTGCAGAAAAAAATGTTTCTCGAACATTTTAGTGTCAGGTAGCCTGTAGTGGCTTTAAAATATGTCAACAAATTCTGTGATCCTCCTCCTATCAAGAGGTGGAGCTTAACTTCCTCTCCTTGAGTGTTTGAGATTAATGCTTGCTTCTAGCAAATCAAGTATGCCAGAATTCTGGTGTGGCACTTCCAAGACTGAAATGTTACAGCTTCCTCTTTGCTCTCTTCCACGGATCATTTATTTTGGGGAAGCCAACTGCCCTGCTGTGAATAGACTGATGAGATCCATGTGGTGAGGAATGAGACCTCCTTCCAACAAGCTACACTAACCTGCTGAATCTGTAAGTGAGCCACTCTGGAAGCGGATGGTCAGGCATCAGTCAAAACTGCACGCCTGAGCTCAGTGAGAAGTATGTGCTTAGCATGCAGGAGGCCCTGGGTTAACCCCCAGCACCTCAAAAACAAGACAGAAATCACTGCAGCCCCAGGCAACATCGTGACTGAAATTGCTTCAGACTGAGTATTTCCCGGCTAAGCCATTCCCTTATTTCTGACACACAAAAACTGTGAGATGCTTGTTTTAAATAACTGTTTGGAATTAATTTGTTACATAGAAGTACATAACTATCACACCCCTTTACACTCTTAAAAATTATTGAGGATCAAACAAAACTTCAGTTTAAGGTATTAAGATGTATGAATTTAACACTAACAGAGCCGGGCACTGGTGGCTCATGCCTATGATTCTAGCTCTACTTGGGAGGCTGAGATTGGGAGGATTGCTGTTCAAAGCCAGGCCTGGTGAATAGTTCATGAAACCCCATCTCCAAAATAACCAGAGCAAAATGGACTGGAGATGTGGTTCAAGTGGTAGAGCACCTGCTTTGCCAGTGCAAAGCCCCGAGTTCAAACCCCACTGTCACATCAAAAAAAAAAATTCAGAAAAACTAACAATTATAGACTCATTACATGCTAATGAGTTTCATTAAATGTTATTTCATAAAAATAACATTTTAATGAAAAAATTAGTGACAAAAGTAACATTACTTTTCTTTTTTTTTTTTCAGTACTGGGGTTTGAGCTCAGGGTCTATACCTTGAGCCATTCCACTAGCCCTTTTACTATGTTGGCTATTTTTCGAGATAGGGCCTTGCAAACTATTTGCCTGGGCCGGCTTTGAATGGTGATCCTCCTGATCACTGTCTCCTGAGTAGCTAGGATTACAAGCAGGAGCCACCAGCACCCAGCTACTTTTCATTTTTGTAAGCTATCTTTACTGTCTTGCTTGATAGGAGAGAGGTCGATTCTCCTACTGATTTTGGTATTTTATCTACTGAAATATGTTGTTTTGGTTGAAATATATGAACAAACTCTAGAATCACAGGTATCTTGTTAGCCAAAGGAATATCTCACAGATATCCTGAGAAGGTCTCTGCAACTCCCAGAGCCTTTGAATTATACTTTAAAAGGGCCACTATAGGGAAACTAGAATTTCATTAAGTTGGAAATTAACAAGGAAACTTCTGAAAGGCTTCTTTGGGGCATACTTTCTCAAGGTACATTACTGCCCTCTTTCATCCTGAACTGTACCATACAAGACTAAGGATTATCATTTCAAAACCTCTGGTAGTAAACTGAGAAGAAAGGAATGATTTTGCCCAAATCTGAGCTGTTACTTATTTAACCTCTTAATTTTCTATCTGTAGGCCAATCTTCTCAATCCCCTCAAAGTCAACAAGAAGAATTCATGCCTAGCTATTCCTGAGCCAGTGCTGGGGCTGGCTACATGCGGAATCCTTTTGGGTAATTCAGTATTCTTAGGGCTGTGGTGGGCCTCCCGTATGCATTCTACCCTTTAATTGTACGCAAGAAACCAGACTAGGGCTGGAAGGAACTTGGATGGGGGGAGGGAAAATACGGGAGTAAGAATTTGTAACTAGACTGTTGCTTTAAGAAATATGAGCCAGATACTACATTTTTTCATTTTAAGGTGTGTAAAATGTGTCGTGTGTGTGTATACACAAGTGTGTCTTTCTAGCTTCTGTCTATGGACTTTAATGCTGACTCACTGTAAGCGATGGGAAAACCAAAAACCAAAGTCACTAAACTGTAAGATCTGATTGTACGCCAAAATATTCTGTTTAATCAGTAAATGACCTAGAATAGGGAAGTCTATTCTACCCTATTTTGTTGTATAAGATAATTACATATGGAAAGCTTACATTCAAATATAGCTTAGATATAATATAATGTCTTTTTTCTTTAAGATTGACAAATGGCAGAATTTAATTAAACACTCCACTCAGAAGAACATGTATTTAAGAAACTTTACTCCAATGATTTTTTTTACCTTAAAACACAATTGCTAATTCTATGCTGAAATAGAGAGGAGAAAAAAACCCCCAAAAACCTTCTCACCTTCTTCGGCTGGATAAGGTTTCTTCATGTTCTACATGAGCAACTTTTAATACTTTCTTGTCAATAAACAGATCTTCAGGATAATAAGCAGATCTATATTGGCGTTGTTGAGAATGGGCACATAGCTTGCCAATCTGAAAAAAAGAAATGCAATATAATTACATAATACTTAAGCAGATACAATTGTAGAAACAAATTCTGAAATTCATTTCAATTTCCTCCCCAAGAGTAGAACAAAGCTATTAATAGAGTCAAAAAAGGTGACAGAGCAAAGAACCATTGGCAGAAAGGAAGGCTGAAGACTGGTGAGGGGGGAAGTCCCATTGTGGCCCAGCCTATTCAGAGATTTCCTAATTAAAAATACCTTTTGAAACGAACATTGAGAAGACCCTTTACATGGGCCTCACTCTATCGATCCTTTTCAATGGCACTTGGTGTTTCTATGTATGAGGAAGTTCACAAAAGGGAATTATGAAGTTTAGGAAGAATTGATATAGTAGATGGGGGTGGGGAGGGTGTTGAGTAGCCTGTTAGTAGAAAAACAGCCTTGAACACACAGAATGCTCCCCATCCTAATGAATACTTCCTTGTAAGACTCAAGCTGAGGTATTCTAAAAAATATCAGTGTAGTTGCTCAGCTGGCGTTCCTAAAAATCCCCAAGGGAAGTAGCCAAGTCCAGCAATCAATAGCCAGTGTCATCAGCTGTGAATCATAGATCAGTGAATAAGCCCAGGACTGAGAGGATTAAAGAATATAAGCACTCAAGTCAGCCAGCCTTTCTCCCTCCCCCTCCCAATTCTTCTCATTCATCCATTCAAATATATTCATTGCACACCTCTTTCACATTATGTAGCAATGATTTTTTAAAACAAAATGGCACCAGTTGTCTTGCTTAGTTCCATTCTAATTGATTTCTTCGGTTAAGTTATTTGTAGATTTTTTTCATGTTCATATGAAAGCCTAAATGAACTTCTATACAAAGAAGTATGAAGTATCATTATATTAACTTTCTTTTTTTTTTTTTTTTGTGGTACTGGGGTTTAAACTCCAGGCCTCAGTCTTACTAGGCAGGTGCTCTACCACTTGAGCCACTCTACCAGTCCTGATATTAATTTTTTTATATATCTCTCCTGTGCCAGGAACTATGTTTAATATTACAAATTATCCATTTTATAGATGAGAAAATTGAGGCTCAAGGAGGTTAAGTGACTTTTCTAAGGTAAACAGGCAGTGGATTCACTTGCCCGACTTTGAACCCATTTGTCTGACTGCAAATCTTATTCAACATTGCCTCCCTAGAGGACAGTGCTTCATTTCCACTTGCTTATATTCTGCTTTGCACAAAAAAGTTCCACTGTTCAATTACATAGCCAGCCAACATAACCTAGGTAAATATATAGATTGTAAAGTTTAGGAAAAATATTAGAACTATCTTGTGAGGACAAAGGTTGTATCTTTGTCACCATGTACCTTCACAAAATTCACACTGGAGTTTGTATGCTGTTAGGCTTGGTTAGGTGGGTTGATTGAGCTGAAATTAAGCATTTGTTGCCCTTAATGCAGAGAAACTAAAGCAGATACCTTAAAGCAACTGAGGCCAATAGGAAAAGGGGACCAGGAACTAGAGAAAAGGTTAGATCAAAAAGAATTAACCTAGAAGGTAACACCCACGCACAGGAAATCAATGTGAGTCAATGCCCTGTATAGCTATCCTTATCTCAACCAGCAAAACCCCTTGTTCCTTCCTGTTATTGCTTATACTCTCTCTACAACAAAATTAGAAATAAGGGCAAAATAGTTTCTGCTGGGTATTGAGGGGGGGAGAGGGAGGGGGTGGAGTGGGTGGTAAGGGAGGGGGTGGGGGCAGGGGGGAGAAATGAACCAAGCCTTGTATGCACATATGAATAATAAAAGAAAAATGAAAAAAAAAAAACTCTCCAATTATCAGGGCCTGCACAACACGCCACTCTACTGATAGTCCACGGGCTCTGTGTGGTCATCCCAGCTTCTGGATTTCTCAAGATGGCCCTGAAAGCATTTCCTAACTTATCTATCTCTATATAAAGGCATAAATGGCATTTAATTTGTGTAGCTCTGGAAGGCTTTCCATAAGAATAAATCTTGAATTAGAAAATACCTAGAATCAGCACTACAATCACCTCCCTTTGTGAAAGATAGCAGCTAGCTTGATATTCAGACTAGCTATAGTTTATCCTAAAGGAAATGAAACGAGAGTTGCAGAGCCTTGAAAATAGTCCACTAGCTCTGGAATGTAAGATCCTGAAATTTTCGCAGGTACTTCTATAATGCTGTTTGACTCGGGTTAATATGAACTTCAAATAAAGAATTTGCATTCTGGGAGCAGTCTGATAGGGTGCTTCAGGCTAGGGGCTGCCCCACTGGACTGGAGAGTTAAGTTCCAATCACTTCCCAAGCATATAACACACATACGAATAACTGAGGGTGGACTATGCACTCTCACTTCATGTCTGTGGAAATGTACATGTCTTCTTTGTTAAACTGCAGGTGAAATTTCACGGAATAAAACCTTGATTTTAGTCCATACATATCTATTTATTATTCTGTGTGAGGGCCTATTTCACCAGGATCATCTTAGCACATTCAGGTGCACAGGACATTCTCTTGACCTACACCTGTTCCAAATGCAGCACCAAAATAAAATCTTCCACACATCGTTCACAGTAACTTGTCTAGCTGCAAGCCACAGCTGTGAAATCTCCCTCCCCATTGAAAGTCAGCCCTTTGTTTCAGTGAATACTAATTGGGCCACAGAAAGACTTTAAAGTATTTGCCCCCCTACCTAGTGGAAAGGGGTGCAGTGGAGGCAAAAGTAGGAAAGTTAAGAACAAATGAGAATGTAGACAGTGTGACCTTTCTTTCCAAGCCACCCAATGTGGCATTATCAAGCAGACTTCCCAAGGCTCTGTGTGGGGGAAGGGGCCAAGAATGGTGTCCTGCCAGTACCCACTCTCCCATCTGAAATGTGCCACATTTTACCAGACAGGCTATATTTTCTTCTACAAATCTACCACGAAGCAAATTCTTCTCCTATATAAAGCATTTGTCAAATGCATCTCCCCACATCTTTCACCTCACACTGTGTGAGCTAGAGGTGAGTATTATGGCCTTGTTTTGAGAAGTGGGCACTAAAAGAAAACACAATTTACAAAGAGATGCAGCACTCACATTAAAGAAGTCCTTTCAATTTCCCACTTGAGATGGACCAGGTGATACTGTGAGACCTGGGTCTCATTCTTCAGCTGCACTTGCTAAAGAAGCCAGCCTCCAAGTAGCCTTTTAGAAATCAGTAGCCTGCCCAGGAGTCTCAGGCTCTTAACTAAGTACAAACCAATTTCCTTTCACTGACTAATGTCCCTAATCAAGAATGTTACCACCTTTAAATTTGGTTAGTTGGAGTGAACTTATTAGATAGGTGAGTGTCTCTATCAAAAGGCCTAGAATATAAAACCTTTTGGTTTTCCACAAACCGTGATTCCTAATGGTGCCTTTATTCATGGGCCAGACACTATGGCAGGGAAAGCAGTAGTGTTCTGGGGTGTCAAAGTCTGAAACTTAAGAAGCCAGGGCTTCCAACTGTATCCCAAACAGCAAGTCATTCTGGCAACCCTAGCACCATTCCTTTCCACCAGGTTCCAGAGACATTGTCCTTGTGCATACATGAGGCAAATACACTACTGGGGACCAGTAGGCTGGGCATCAGGAGACCTGGCTTACAATCCCACTTCTTTATTGTTTTTTACTTAACACATAATAATTGTACATATTCACAGGGTAAATGTGATATTTCAACATATGTATACAATATGCAACTATCAGATCAGGATAACTAGCATATCCACCACCTCAAACATTTATATCATTTCTTTGTGTTGGAAACATTCAAAATCTTCTTGTGTATCTATTTTGAAATATACAATAAATTATTGACTATACTCACCCTACTGTGCTACATGTATGAACGTACTCCTCCTGTGTTTTTGTACCTGTTACTCAAGCTCTCCCTAGCTCCCCTTGCTCCAACCCTTTACAAGCTCTAGGGTAACCACCATCTCAACTTCCTTGAGATCAACTTTTTAGTTTTCACATATGAGTGAGCTCAGGGAATATTTACCTTTCTGTGCTTGGCTTATTTTACTTAATGTAATCACAACATCCTTTAGGTTCATCTACGTATGACCCTACTTACAGCAGTTCCTTTTTTTTTTTTTTTTGGTAGTGGTACTGGAGATTGAACTCAGGACCTTGAGCTTGCTAAGCAAATGCTCTACCACTTGAGTTGAGCATCCAGTCCTCTTACTTTTCATGTTTTTCAGATGGGATCTCATGTTTTTGTCCTGGTTGGCCTCAGACCACGATCCTCCTACCTCTGCCTCCTGAAGTAACCAGGATTACATAAGTGCACTACCGTGCCTGGTCTTGCTAACTTTTGCCAGGGATGACCTCATACTGCAATCTTCTTATCTTTACCTCATGAGTAGCTGGTAGTACTCCAGGCCCCAGTACTTCATTTTGACCTGGTGCTGCGGTTTCATTCCACCTACAAATCTAGCTCTATGCACAGGATAAAAAGACAATTGAAGTGTCGTACTTTAGTCTATGCACTCTTAGAAAAAACAAGGTGAAAATAACTTTCCTAGTGGAGCATGTTACCATGGGGGGTTATTTTCTTTACCCATTGCTAGTTTCATGGCTGAAGCTCCTATAATATAAGACAGATTAACAAGAGAAAATCATACACATATGTTTAATGTAAGTTTTATATGACAGAAAAGAAGGCACAAAGACACAGGAAATCTGTATTTTTAAGTTAACTTTGATGAAGATGTGCATCTTGGTAGAGAACTATGATTGGATGAAGGAGTTATGGTCTGATGATAACGTATTGGAACAAATATAACAAGTCCTGTGTGCTAAGGCTCTTCTCTGTAACTTCTCTGTAACATCTCTGTGTCTTCAGAGATGAGGGCATTTCTTTTCTCCAGGCATATAGTGGCACCTACCACCTGGGTAGCCTATGATGTGCTTCAAGTGACAGTCAGCTGCTTTTATGGCCTGCTTCAGGGCAAAAGGGGCAGGAGAATTTGAGAGTGA